CTTCCCTTCCCTCCCCTCCCCTCCCCTCCCCTCCCCTCCCCTCCCCTCTTCTCCCCTCCCCAGTTGCCTTCCCTTGCCTTCCCTTGCCTTCCCTTCCCTTCCAGAAATCACAGGACAGGGTAAGGGAGAGGAGCAGGATGTGGGACTAAAGGGAGGAAGGATGAAAACAGGGAACACAGAAATATGGAATGGGCGAGAGCAAGAGAGGAGAAAGCTGAGAAGAGAGAGGAGAGAAAGACGAACAGAATGGGATGGGGGAGGAAAGGGGAGTGGAAGAGGGGGAGAGGAAGAGGGAGACAGACAGACAGACAGACAGACACACACACACAGAGAGAGAGAGAGAGAGAGACAGAGACAGAGACAGAGAGAGACAGAGAGATCTTTTTGCCTGAAGACCCCAGGGCTTATTACAGAAGCTTCAGAGAAGGCCACTAAGGCAGCTGCATCCCAGCCACTTGATCTTTAGTGGAACTAGCCTGGGGAGGTTGGAGGACTCACAGAAGAGTTGAGGTCTCAGACTATATGCACAGCTAACTGGTCTCAGCCCAAGAAACATCAGGTACAGTTTAGCACAAGGACCAGGAGGAAGCTCTGGTAATGGTGCTGGGATTTCACTTAAGGCAGCCTCTGCTTCACGGATTGCCTGGATTAACTAGTCCTGGATCCAGGTTTGCAACTATCAGGTACTGATGTGGCCTCTTCAGTTGAACCCAGACAATGTGTACCTGTGTTTCCCCTGAGGCTCTGTTGATTCTTTATGTGGCTAACCTTCTAGCTCATACTTTGAACATGGCATAGCACTACACAAGCAGACCACTACTCTCCTAATAAAGACTTCTGGAGCACTACCAGTCTTGACTGTCCCTCCTGCTGTCACCCTGAGGTGTGACACCCTGAGGTGTGACACCCTGAGGTGTGCTGTGAATCCTGAAGGCACACATTAAGTGGGTCACAGTGGGTGAATTTTGAGGTTTCAAAGCTCATGCCAGGCCCAGTGTCACCCTCTCTTTCTGCTGCCTGTGGGTGCATTCATAGAACTCTCAGCTGCCTCTCCAGCACCATGTCTGCCTGTGTGCTGCCACGCTTCTCACCATGATGATGACAGACTAAACCTCTCAAACTGTAAGCCAGCCCCAACTAAATGTTTTCCTTATTAAGAACTGTCATTTTTATAGTATCTCTTCACAGCAGTGGAAACCTTAACTAAGAGTAGCCTAGGTTGGTTGAGGGTTTCCCTGGGGCCCCTTTGACCAACAACTCAATTACTTGTAACCCATTCCAATAATTAGAGATTTCATTTAGTGGCAGAATGTCTAGTTGGGGCCTTGTCTCCCCGATTATTTGACGAATCTATTTAGATTTCTTTCATATACATATCTATTTTAAGAAGCTTCTACTGTAGTGGGTTTCTATGTGACCCTTTACTGGCCCTTAGCTTTAGCTTGCCCTCTGTATTCCCTCCCTTGGTCTTCTTCCCATTTCATCCTTCTGTTCAGTACCCCTTGCCCATCTCTCTGTATGGATCCTGCTTTTCCTTCCTTGGGAGATCCTCCCTGCTCACAGTTCCTTATTGTACACATAACCCTGTGATCACTCAGAGAGTCACACGCCCACTGAAGGCTGACAGGAGAATACAAACCATAATTTCTTTTTGGATCTGGGTTACCTCACTTAGCATGATTTTTTTTTCTAGCTCCAGCCATTTACTTGTAAATTTTATGATCTAATTTTTTTAACAGATTAATAAGATTCCATTGTATAAATATGCCACATTGTCATTATCCATTTATCAGCTGATGGACAACTGGGTTGTTTCCAGTTTATGGCTACTATGAATAGAGCAGTAACGAACATGGAAGGACGTAGAGTACTATGGGTACATGCTCGAGAGTGGTACAGCTGGATTTGAGGATACATTAGCATCTTCCTGAGGAGCCACCACACTGATTTCCATAGTGGATGTATAAATCTGCACTCCCAGCAGCAATGGATGAGTGTTCCCCTTGCTCCATTCGTTGCCAGCCTGAGCCGTCACTTGTGTTATACAAGCCATTCTGACAGCTGTAAAATGAAATCTCAAATAGTTTTGATTTGCATGATGATTAAGGATGCTGAATAATTCTTTAGGTGTTTCTCAGCCACTTCATTTTCCTCTTTTGAGAATTCTCTATTTATTTAGTTCTGTATTCCATTAAAAAAATTGGATTGTCTTCTTGATGTCCAGATTTGTGTATGTGTGTGTCTGTCTATGTACCTATTTATGTATCTATGTATCATTCATGTATGTATGTATGTATGTATGTATGTATGTATGTAT